ATATTGAACTCAGTATGAGCCCTTTAAGACATAAAATTGAATGAGATTTTAACCTTTAAAAGGTTAGAATGTCATTTTAGAATATATTGTTTCTTGCAGAAAGACTGATTGTTTTTGCTACTAACACCGAGATGTTGGTGCATGCATCTCTAATCTGTATGTTTCTAATTACTACTAGTCATAATCGGTTGCACTTGGATCCTTGGCACCTGTGTATGTCTATAAAATCATCGGGTAGATTTCAATGGTAATGTTCATCACCTCTATTAATTAGCACGACGTGAATTTCCATGCTTCCTCCTCAAATATAATACATTAAAAATTTGTTGATTTTGTGTGCGCGTGTGTGTATCACAGAACATCCCAAACCATCTTATTCAACTATACACCCACTTTCCAGATGGCACCCTCCCATAGTCTCCCTCCCCCAACTAGAGCCCTTATACTCTGATATCCCTGTTACTGTCTGCTGTGTTGTCAGCACCCCCAGCCATTCCCCACTACTTGCCCTTCTGGTGAATCTAGTCAGCCTGTCTAGAGATCTTGTTTTAGGAGGGTCAGTTGTCAATATTCCTTTAGATAAGATTGGGGTCTGCTGTTCATTTTCCAAGTTCTATGCTGGGTTACTATCTGGGAGTCCCTATGGCCACCTGGCCAGCAACTCAAAAGAAGGTATCTCCTATCTGGCATTGTTGCTTGTTATGTAGCCTTTAGCTATACATATGGACTCTTAAAAAATTATGTTGGCCCCTTTAATCTTTGGTTATACTTTCCTTTTGGGTGTTTAAAGCCATACAGTTGGCCCAGATAAACCCATTTACTTTTACTCTTAAGGTTGTTTGAGGATCTGTTCTCAGGAATCACATGGGCTTGGGAGGAGCCCCTGGCTCCTTTCTTTTACCAGTTCCACCTATGTGAAGGTAAGTCAAAGGTCCTGCTTGACCATAGTTGGCTTAGCTTGGAAGCATGGAGGATATGATTCCTCTGTGTGACCCTCCTCTTTGTAGACTGGACACTGGTTCAAGCCCATCTGGTGGGGTCTCCTCGGCCTCCTTGATCAAGAGGACAGGTGACCCACCACAGTTACAGGACATTTTGAGAGATGCTCAACTCCCCTGGAACTAGCCAACCTAGGAGGGAAAGGAGCAAAAACTGTCCTTTATGTCCCTCTGACCAAATTA